AAAATAGAAGTAGAAGAGATGGCTCTACCATAGAAAGAAAGCATTGAAATAAATTGAGAAATGTGGAGCGGAACTATTTTTAGTGTAGGAGAGCATATTACTTTTGAATAGGAATATGATTTTATAACCCAGTGAAACCTCACAGGGAGCGACTCTAGTTTGTCTTTACAGATTGAGTCGTTGGTGATCCAGCTGTAACTAAAGTAGTCAAATTTGAGAGTGTCATTCCATTTATTTACAAACTGATCAGGTTTATTTACAAACTGATCAGGTCCACCATTAGCATTGGCCTGCTACTCACTGAAAAAAATCATGGAGAAAAAATGGCCTCAATCATCAACCAACTTGTGCAACAGAAATCTAAACCATTTCTACGATTAGAGCCACAGGTCATTGTGACAGCATAGGAGGATTCAGTGAGGCACCCTCGAGAGAGTGTAAGTCTGTAAGGTTTAGGAAGAGAGAAGGTAGGAGCCCAGCATGTCAGGAGGAGGAGCAAAAGGCTATTCTGAATCTGGTGACTGGTTCACAAATAAGCCTTTAACCACTCTTGAAACATATACATTTATATCATTTTTCAATAAAAATAATGTATTATTAAAAACAAGATAGTTTTATTATATATTGATACACTTAAACACTAGAATAAACCAGGTGGATGGAGTTCATACACCTGAACTGGACATTCCCAGCCGTTGTGAAGGGTACAATGACTTTTTGCTTTATAAAGCATATTGTTGTTTTCTGTTATGGATGAACTTATCGGGAAACATTTTCATAAAATAATTTGCAGCTTATTTAGAACACGTCTTTTGGTTATGTAAGCCTCCCTCTTTTTCTTAATAAATGAGAACAAAAACAAGGTCTTTTTTCACTGAGCTGGATGAAGCCTAGGCTCTATAGGGACATGGGCGCTGCTTGTTTTAGGACAAGTCACTTCCTGTGTGCTGATGTGGATATAGCAACCATGTAGTACTATCTTCAGCAAAAAATAAATAAATAAATAAATAAATAAATAAATAAAGTAAAATAAAAAACTGAGAGGGAGAATTTTTTTTTTTTAATATATTGATTTTTTTACAAAGAGGAAGAGAAAGGGATAGAGAGTTAGAAACATCGATCAGCTGCCTCCCACGTTCCCCCAGTTGGGGATTTGCCCACAACCAAGATACATGCCCTTGACCAGAATCAAACCTGGGACCCTTCAGTCCACTGGCTGGCGCCCTATCCACTGAGCCAAATCGGTTAGGACAGAGAGGGAGAAATTTTTATTGTGATTTTGATTTTTTTTTTTTAAGAAATATTTTTTTAAAATTATTTTTAATGATTTCTGAAAGGAGGGGAGAGGGAGAGAGAGAGAGAAACATCAATGATGAGAGAGAATCATTGGTTGGCTGCCTCCTGCACGCCTCCTACTGGGGATGGAGCCTGCAACCTGGGCATGTGCCTTTGACCAGAACTGAACCCGGGACCCTCCAGTCCACAGGCTGATGCTCTATCCACTGACCCAAACCGGCTAGGGCATAAATTTGATTCTTCACTGCAATATTGCATGTGTCTGGAACAGTCCCTTTTTAATACATCAAAGATTTTAGTGCCATTAACAATAGGAGTGTAGCATTATGATAAAAGGTAAAATGGTCCATTTGTGGTGTTTGGGGACGTTTGGGAAAAGACTCCTTTGTGATTATAATTCTTTCTCAATTGCTTGTTTAAAATTCACATAAATTTTAAGGCAGGTGCTTAAAACTTGAATGTGAAAGGTAAACGGGTTTTAGAGATGAGGTTTGGGTGGTCCTAAGTGTGCTTATCTACCTGTTCATCCTTCTGAGATGTTATTTCTATATAAAGCCCCCTAAAATCTCAATGGCCTGAGGTTAGGCAAGATTAAAACAAGATCAACATATTGTATATCTAGTTCTTGGAAATTAATGCTTCAAATCTTATTTAAAAGCAATTATTGATGCATTTGGAATCTTTTTGGCTTAGTAGTTGCAAATTTCAAAAGCTTCTGGGCTTGCTATTTAACCCTAAGTATATTTGTCTCTTATCTGTATAATTTAGCTCAAGGCTTTGGATGTTCTGGTTGGTTGATGACAATTATAGTTGATACGCTAATCCTTTTCAGTGTGGGCCTTTTAGAGAATGAAAATGACCAAGTCTCAAACTTACCCACTATGGTTAAATAATTTGGCACTTCAATTAGGTATTTCTTTCCTCTATGTTGATTTCAAAATTATTTTGGAGAACTGTATATAATTCTTTTTTGTCAGCGTTGGCTTTGGTTATCAAATGAACCAATTACTATATAAAGTTTTGTATATCAAACCTTCATACACACTTTATTTTCTTATGAAAAACATGTTTTATTCTACCCTCATCCACATGTCTACATACTTTAGTTTTCTTCTATGACAGCAAGGAAGGCTGTTTGTTTGCTTTTAAGTCCTCATTGCTGTTTTTTCTAAACCATTTAATACTGAGACAACCAGGCTGCTTGGTTTATATAGTGATAAAAGGATTTATTGGGTAATGCTTTGAAGCTGACCTGTGCTGGAGTCTCAGTAAGATGTCATTAGAGACGGGAGTTAATGGGTCCATTCTGTGATGCCCTGACCTCAGTTTATGAATATTATTTAATAGAGCATTCCAGTATTGGGCAATGATTTGAGAAAATAGTTTTTAGTGAAGAATATGACCTTAGATTTTGGAATGGCATACTTTTATTTGCAGCATGTTGGTTTTAGTGTGGGGATAGAGCATCTTAATCTCTCTTGGGTCACTGACCGTGATGGTTAATTTGATGTCACTTTGACAGGCCAGTGTCTGGTTTTTTAGTCAAACACTAATCTAGATGCTGCTGCGAAGGTATTTTGCAGATAAGAATAACATTTATAGTCAGTTGACCTTAAGTAAAGGCGATTGCTCTTGATAATATTGAGGCTCCATCAAATCAGCTGAAGCCTTCAGAGAAAAAACAAAACAAAAAAAGCCCCAGAAGAGATCTTTTGCCTCAAGGCTGTAACATAGAAATCCTACCTGAGTCTTCACCCTGCTGGCCTTCCCTTCAAATTCTGGGCTTGCCAGCTGCCACAGTTGTAATAACCATTATTTCTCAATATAAATCTCTTTACATATATATAATATATATTATATTTTTCTCCAGAGAAACAGACCCACAAAAACCGTAGGAGAACCATGACTGAAATATCGACCTTCAGAAAATCAAGGGTTTACCCCCCCAAATTATGCAAAAACATCCTAGTTATTTTTAAGAGAAAAATTTAAAATAACTTAATCTAATTTTAAGGTCAAAACAAAGAATATTGAACCTTCCTAAATTGAAGGAAAAAAATCTTTATTGATGTCATTTTTAATTTCAGGGATTTTTAGGAGAAAGAATTGGAAAGAGCAGCAAAGTATCTAAGGATAGGATTGGGGAAATGTCTCAATGCATTGTAAGCCATATTGTTCTTCACCTGTCCCATCCTTTACTGGCCTAAAGACTCTGGCTGTCACTCTTTTTTTTTTTTTTTAAAGAAGAATTTACATTCTTTTTTAAAAAATATATTTTATTGATTTTTTTTACAGAGAGGAAGGGAGAGAGATAGAGAACTAGAAACGTCGATAAGAGACAAACATCGACCAGCTGCCTCTTGCACACCCCCTACCGGGGGATGTGCCCGCAACCAATGAACATGCCCTTGACTGGAATCGAACCTGAGATCTTTCAGTCTGCAGACCCACGCTCTACCACTGAGCAAACCGGTTTTGGCCTGTCACTCTTTTTAACGTTACCATAAAGTAATAAACTGAATTGGTTTACTATTCTTCAGTATTGCTTTTCTCACACAAACCTTTATATGTCATCTCTCAAGTCACATAGCCTTAGTGATCCATCCATACAAAGTTGTGTCGTTGAGGGAAAACCTGTGTATCTTATACATGACCTCCCTCCCTAGAGTTTTCCACGTAGTTGGTTTTCCTTAAGTGGCAGGAAGGTGAGAGAGTGAGGGAAGTGTGCAAGCCGCAGGTGCAGGAATCAGTGTGGCCCTCCTCTAACCAGAACACCCAGTGAGGCCTCCATTGTTGTTTAGCTTCAAGTCTGAAACCTCTGGGGGGCATCAGTGGAACGAGTAAAACGATACAATGGAGCTGCCTTCAAATGTAGCCATGGGAGGTCTAAGTGCAGAGGGACAGTGACAGCAAGAGGGAGGGCTGTCTGATCTCTCTTGGGCTTTTCCTCTCAGCCTGACTGTTTTCCCCTGTATATATGGCTCCCATTCCCATTTTCATCAGGTCATGGAATCACAGCATCAGAAGAGACTCTGGAGATTTAAAAATTCAGCCTGCTTACAATGCATGAACGCAACACTTCATCCCAGATGGGTGTGTGTGCACAGCTGTCTTCCGTGATGGGAAGCACAGCTTGTTATGTGCTGACTTCCAATGATCAGTCCCAGAACTACACAAAAAGAAGAAATCCTTCCACCCACTAACCTTTAATTTGGTTATTTCATTCTTTCAGAGTCTTGTCTTATTTTCTCCAGAGGGAAGATATCTCTTCTTTCAAATGATCCTGTGATCAGTCCTAACTTGCTCTCTTCTGAATGTGTTCTAATTCATCACTCCATTTGAAGTATCTACAATAGCTCAGACCTTGTGATCTGAGGACCAGAAACTACAAAAGGGTGTTCCCCTCATTCACCATTCTGGACTGTCTGCTGATAGCGCCCATGATACTGTTAGGATCTTTACTGCCCCATCACATCGGCCAAGTGCAGTGAGCTTGCTGTCCAAAGACCCTCCTTCCCATACCTGATGAAGGTTGGGGATGTCTTCATGCTGTACCTGTGCAGTTGTACTGTTTAATATAAAAAATGGTGTTTGGCCCAGCTGGCATGGCTCAGTGGTTGAGTGTTGACCTATGAACCAGGAGGTCACTGTCAGGTTACTTACCTGGGTTGCAGGCTCCATCCCCAGTAGGCGGTGGGCAGGAGGCAGCTGATCAATGATCCTTTCTCATCACTATTGTTTCTATCCCTCTCTCCCTCTCCATTCTTCTCTGAAATCAATAAAAAAAAAATATTTTATAAAAGAGATGTTCATATATATCGCTAAATTAATCTTTTTAGCTATAGCCCATTATTTTGATTTGTTGAGATCATTTTGGACCTGATGCTAGGCATCTCTCAGCTTTGTTTAATCGACAAGCACAGAGCCTTGTTCTCATCTAAAGCTGTAATAAAAACATTCATCATCTTTCCTTTCCATTGCTTTCTTTCTCCAGCTTTCCCATGAACTGTTGCAGGAACTTGATATCCATGATCACCCCCTGAAATAAGCCTTCCACGCTGCCTGGGGGTGCCTGTTAAAAAACCGTGAGGTTCGAAACCAGTTTGGCTCAGTGGTAGAGCGTCGGTCTGCGGACTGAAGGGTCCCAGGTTTGATTCCGGTCAAGGGCATGTACATTGGTTGCAGGCACATCCCCGGTAGGGGGTGTGCAGGAGGCAGCTGGTCGATGATTCTCTCTCAGCGACATTTCTGGCTCTCTATCTCTCTCCCTTCCTCTCTGTAAAAAATCAATAACATAAAATTAAAATTAAATAAATAAATAAAAAACCGTGAGGGATTCGTGTACTCTCGTCTTTGCCATCTAGTCCCTTGACCATCACTTCAGATCCCTTTTCCACACCTGGACAACATAATTATGTAACCGGTTTTTCTTTCTCAAGTCTCACTCCTTCCTCCTCCAGCCCATCCTCTCCAGCTGCCAGAATGGCCTGCTTGGGCCACACTTTCATTCATCAGCACCCCTGAGTGTCTCCCCCTGCTTTGTTTAGTGGGGGAACGTTATATAATTTGGCTGCACCTCCCCTCTCATGCCATCCCCAAAGCACCTCATTCTGCATCCTTAGCATGATTTTGCAACTCCTAAAGCAAGAGAGAGCCACCATTTCTTAATTTTTTTTTTTTAATCTTTCTAATAGGATGGCTCAAAAATAAAACAACATGGGACTGCTTACAGACTAATGATGAATTAGATCACTTTTAGAAACACAGTCCTGGGATATCTGTCTGATGATTCTGTTGAACGCAGCAATTGATTTCTTTACCTCATTTTGAATCTGTAGAATTGGATTTCTAACCTAATAAGGATGTTACTATTAGAGGAGAGGACTGATGGGGCACATTTTGACTTTTGTCAAGTTCAAGAGTTCATGTAATGTACACGAATAAACTATTTTCAGTGAGAATAATGAACAGGAGGGCCTGCAGGCATTTTAATGTCTGTTCCTGGGTTAAACTTTAATGTGGCACTTTATCATATATGCAACCTAGCTAACGTTTAGGAAAGGGTTTTAAAGGAAGCTTAGTACCCACACCTGACGTTGAGATAAATGAACCCTTGGGGTTAATTAACATTTGGTGGTGGTGGAGCAGACATGGGAAAGTGGGTTCTGCCGCACTGCATTGTTCACCATGCAGCAAGGATGTACAGAAATGGAACAAAAGGCAGGGCAGGGACTAGCACCTCCCCATAGATGGCATGTCACTACTACAGTAGTATTTACTGTTTTCCTTCTGTGCCTGTTAATGCAAGATAGTAAAATGAAGATCAAAGCCAACCTGCCTTTTTCTCTTCCTTTCAAAGGGCCAGTCTTTCCTGGGGCAGGATTTCTTTGTCCAGCAGCCTGCTGGCAGCTCTGCCTATGCTCTGAGATGGCACAGAAGCCATCGGGAAGTTGCACCGTTCTAGGAAACCCTTTAACTTCGAGAATGGGGACGACAGACACCCAGCGGGGACCCTTTTGTTCCCCAGGGATTGTTTGGTTCCACGTTAACCTGCACTGGCTTTGTCGTTTTCAAACCCTAACAGGGTGTGTGTCTTTAAGTTGCTTTAAAATGTGGATTTAAAAAACTCCTGCGAGAAGTAAATTGCAGCTGAAAGAGATGCATTAAATATTTAAGAGATTTCTGAAGTCCAGTCGTTTGAAGACTTACTAATCAACTCCTCTAATGGAGAAACGCGCAAATACATTTTGGCATTTCTGGGCTCCGCTGACAAGTCATTAACTTGCATGTATCTAGAAATTTAATTTGCCAGTGCCTGGCCATTGGATGCAGCAGAAATAATTTCTGTTTTCAACTATAATCCTCAATTAGTACACACCAGGCTCTTTCCCATTTTAGTTACGTTTCTGTGCAGCCCACTAGTCATTTAGAAGGGGAAACCTGGGTATGCCTCTCACTGGTTAAGCATGTTTCTCTTTGCAAGAGAATATTTTTGGATTCACTCATGGGCTATGCTGTTTTCCAATTTTATCGTCGGAACATAAGGGCTTAGGAAGCATAAATGTGAGCAGAAGCCTGAGGGTGTGTGTGTGTGCACGCATGCATATGCCTACATGCATTTAGACATTTACATAACATTGTGACAGCCAGGTCCCAGTCACGAGCTGATGTCCCCTGCACATCAGCGAGTTTGACTCTGCTCCATATTCACCCACCTCAGTGGTTGGAGCTGGGCCAGAGGTATCAGGCAGCCAGGGTGGATGGACAGAGGGAGTGGGGCTGGGGCTGGGGCTGGGGTTGGGGTTGAGGTGGGGTGGGCTGAGGTGGGAACAGCAGTTGTTCAAGGCCTGCCTTCCTGTTTCATTCATCGTGGTGAAAAGTAGCCCCATTTCACCTGTGATTGTGAGTACATTTTATGATGATATGGCAAACATTTTCCCCTCTGTATGAAGTCAATCTACAATAGTTGTAAAATCTACCCTTCTTCATCAGGAAGTGTCTCATTTCTCTCAAGTTTGTACAAAGTCTCCATTAATACATCATTTCTTATTTCAACAATGTAAACAAATCAATTGCAAAACCCAGTTGACTCTTGGGAGTCTGCAGACACCAGTTCCTATGGGAACCGAATTACGGTTCTGTCTCTGCAGGTGACACGCCAGGCCGGCTGTACCACATCAAACTGGAAATGCTTATTAGTGTTTGGGAAGAGTAAACGAGTTTAGAGCAGTATATCTTTTACTTGTGGGGACATTTACATTTAAGACTTACCATCCCCCTTTCCATACTTTTGTTTGGGGTCAGAGTATAAAAGGGAGAAGACTGTAGCCCCATACCCCCACCAGGTCAAACCCACAGTGCTCCTGAAATTAACTGAGTTACCTCCTATCCATTAAAGACTGTGTTTGAGTATTTATGGAACTAATCTCAAATGTGTTTATGTGTGTTAAATGAAGTGAAAGATGTGTATTTCATGGATTGGGGGGAAATCCTTATTATCGTTATTTGATCTTGGACTGTTTGCTTCCAAGTGACTGGTCACAGCTGTGACTGGGACTCTGCCAGTCGGAGCTGGAGTGGAATTTACAAGGCTGCAGGATGCAAGCACCGTGGCTTCAGAGAGTATGGGCCTGGGTTTAACCCTGACACAGGGCCTTAACTGCGGCTTTCACCTCTGTAAGCCTCGGTTTCATGATCTGCAGGGCCACCTTAACTGACAAAGATGGCATCTCCAATGCGTCTAGCATAGCGTCTGACATGAAGTTGAACACATTCATTCCCAGATGATGGGCATTCCTTTATTTGACCCCACACTACTTCATTGATTTTATGATGGTGGCTACTTTTTTTTTTTTTTTTAATATATTTTATTGATTTTGTACAGAGACGAAGGGAGAGAGATAGAGAGTTAGAAACATCGATGCCAGAGAGTCATCTATCAGCAGTGGCTACTTTTTATTTATTTATTTATTTATTTATTTATTTTAATTTTATTTATTTATTTATTTATTTTTACATATTTTATTGATTTTCCCCCTCCCTCCCTCCCACACATCCCCTCCCTCCCCAGAGCTTTATGTCCATTGGTTGTACTTATATGCATGCATACAAGTCTGTCAGTTGATCTATTATCTCCCCCAGATCCTCCTCCCCTCTCCGCTGAAATTTGACAATCTGCTTGTTGCTTTACTGTCTCTGTATCTATCTTTTGGTTCATCAGTTTATAATGATCTTTATTATCCACAAATGAGTGAGGTCATGTGGTGTTTCTCTTTCATTGATTGGCTTATTTCACTCAGCATGATGTTCTCCAATTCCATCCAGGTTGCTGCAAATGATGAGAATTCCTTCTTTTTTATGGCAGCATAGTATTCCATTGTGTAGATGTACCATAGTTTTTGGATCCAATCATCTGCTGACGGGCACCTAGGCTGTTTCCAAATTCTGGCTATTGTACAATAGATTGTGCTGCTATGAACATAGGGGTGCATATATCCTTTCTGATTGGTGTTTCTAGTTTCTTGGGATATATTCCTAGGAGTGGGATTACTGGATCAAATGGGAGTTCCATTTTCAGTTTTTTGAGGAAATTCCACACTGTTCTCCACAGTGGTTGCACCAGTCTGCATTCCCACCAGCAGTGCACGAGGGTTCCTTTTTCTCCGTAACCTCGCCAACACTTGTCGTTTGTTGATTTGTTGATGTTGGCCATTCTGACAGGTGTGAGATGGTACCGCATTGTTGTTTTGATTTGCATCTCTCGGATATTTAGTGACTTTGAGCATGTTTTCATGTGCCTTTTGGCCTTCCTTCTGTCTTCTTTTGAAAATATTCTATTTAGATCCATTGCCCATTTCTTAATTGGATCATTCACCTTCCTTTGATTTAGTTGTATCAGCTGTCTGTAGATGTTGGAGATTAAACCTTTATCAGTGGTGTTATTAGCAAATATGTTCTCCCACACCGTGGGCTTTCTTGTTGTTTTGTTAGCGGTGACTACTTTTAAAAAAATATGTTTTTAATGATTTCAGCGAGGAAGGGAGAGGGAGAAAGAGATAGAAACATCAATGATGAGAAAGAATCATTGATTGGCTGCCTCCTGCAAGTCCCACATCAGGAATCAGAACTGTGACCTCGTGGTTCATAGGTCAACACTCAAACACTGAGCCACACCGGTTGGGCAATGGTGGCTACTTTTGCGCCAAGGTTAAACCCAGGCCTGTCTGCTGAAAGGCAGTTTAGATTCTATATATGTATGTACGTGTGTGTGTGTGTGTGTGTGTGTGTGTGTGTGTCTTACTAGTGTAAATCTTCACCTGATTCTCTGGAATTAGAAGATAGAAACCAAAGTGGATATGAAATAATATTGGCCTGTGTTTATTTGATCACCTGATTTTAAAAAATAGTAACTTTTAAAAAATCATGTTTAATTCAGATAAAAAGGTGAGTTTATCAAACAGAGAATTATAGAATTATTTAACCAGTTTTCATTTCTTAAACAACAAGATCTGGAACACTGAGGCATAGGTCCTCCCTCTCCTTCCCTCTCCACATCTTGCCATCAGATCTAGGAATCTAAACTATGTAGGCCGAATGTTTGTGCTAAGGAGAAGCCCTGGACTGAGAAGACGGAGACCTACATTTTCATTGCAGACCTGCCAGCTAACATTGATCTGGGAAAGGAATTTTGTTCCATGGGCCTCGGTTTTCTCACATGTAAAATGACACTGATCCAGGAGCTTTCTCACACCCATTCAGCTCTAAAGCTCCATTTATTCTTTTGCATATCTCTACCTCATACATTTACATGATTTTCAATAAACTCCATGTCTGAAATGTCCTGCATTTCTCCAAGCCACAGAGTTAAACATGTGTTAGCTTAATTCAATCCCAGCCTTTGGAGGGAAAGAATTTTTTTTCCCCCCAAGCATGGATTTGCTAACCATTTAGTACATTTGCAGCACTGGGGTTGGCAATACGGGTACATAAAGAATAGAGGTATTCCTAGAAGGAGTCAATAGCTGAACTGGAAGCACCTTGAAAATAATTGCACCAAAAAATGGACTAGTTTATAACGAAAGTATTATAAAATATCATAAAAGCAGGTGATATTTATTAAGTACTTCTTACTGCTAATACTACTAATTTAATCCTTGCTCTTAATCTGGTAAGGTAAATGGTATCATCACCTCGATATCACAGAGAAAACCAAGGGACACAGGAAAGTGAATTGTTCACAAAGGATTCAGAGAGGATATTTTACTTGCCCTAGAGTCCTGAGGTGCCCTTCTGGATCTGGAGGTTGAACTGTTGAGAAAAAGTCTGAGAGTGGTGTAGGGTGAGAGGATTTGGATTTTCTGAGCAGATTTGAATTTTATGAAAAGGCAAAAGAAAAGAAAAAAAATTATTTTCTGAATTTGGCAGTTGGCGTTTTCTAACGTCATTTATTGTAAATTTGATCTATTTCATACACAGCATAAATTTTAGGCAGCCTAGAACCGAGGAGTTTTAAAACGAGAAAGCTTTTATTTCAGAAGAAAACAATAATCACATGACTGTGTGCTTTGGAGAAAGCAGTCCAAAATGGGGCTGGAATTGGGTCAAGTGTTGTGAATGGCTCCTCACTGCTGGTAGTGACTTTCCCAAAGGCATGGAGGTTGCGGGGTGGGGGCAGTTTGCTGGACCGAATCCAGGCAGTTGTTTGTCCCTTTGGAGGATTGCAGTCTCATTTGTATCTGCTTGCCGTGTAGAAAGGGTACTCTAAATTGTGATTTGAGAAGAGGTATGGTTCTCCTTCCTGTCTTCACTGGAGGGTCTCAGGGGTGGCCAGGCCTATGTGTTTATACAAACACTGGGGTTGTAAGATGTCCGGAAAGTTGGGATGTGTTACTGAGTGTGAAGTGAGCTGTGCGAGGGTACCAGCGTGCCTTCCTTCATCCAGGGACTGGCAAACATTGTTACCAGAGAAAAACCTGGCCCCCAGAAGAAAAAAAGGCCAAAAAAAGCCTTCCTGCCTCAAGCCCTTTTCTCCCTGCTGCTGATTGTGCAAGCAAAACTGCATTCCTCCTCCCAGCCTGCCGCGGCTGCTGCTAAGGGGAAGAGGGAGCTGCCCTGCAGACTGGCTGCCTCGCCTCACTCTGTAACCCTCTGCTGGTGAGTTCCCAGGACCCGCATCTCGGAGGCTGCGGCTTCTCTTCTCTCCGAGGACATGGAGCTGCTCCCAGCCTTCCTTCATTAGGATATGTCAGGGTTGTCAGGGCAACTGTTAATGGCAGTGGATCCTCTTTTCCCCTCCGTGCTGCTGTGTGCTGAATATTTTTTTTTCTCGTGAGGCATCAAGAAGAAGATCGGGGAAAGGAGAACCTGGGATCTGAGTGAACAGGTTAGGCAGTGGATGGAGGCATCTGAACCTGCGTGCCTTTAATAGGGCTTTTTTGGAAGGGGTGTGTGTGTGTGTGTGTGTGTGTGTGTGTGAAAGCCAGAGATAGCACATGTGCCTGTGGGGAGGCAGTGGGAAGGGGCTTTCAGGGGGGGTTGCTGCTAGGTGAGGGGGCACTGCAGGGCCTCAGTTGCCAACTGGCTGGTAGTGTCTGTCAGCTGTCTGCACACTGTTTACCCATAGGGGATCTATTACAAGTGCTCGAATGAACGGGCAGCTTAGACACTAGCAGCTTCCCGGGAGCTGCAATTACATAAGCATATATTTTTAATACAATAATAATTTAAAAAAAAAATAAAAGTAGCCGCGGCATGCCTGGATCAGCTACAGCTCTCCGGCAAGAGAGACTGAAGAAGACCAATGCAAGGCCAGTTCCCCTCGGTTTGTTCACCATTAATGAGGAAGATGAACAGCAAAAGAATGGAAATTCCAGGAGACCGAAAGGTATGCATTAGCTCTATCTACCCTTTGGTTGGAGCCAGCCCGTTTCCCACGCTGCCTGTAGCACATTTTACAGACTGTGTTCGTGGTGCATGCTGTGTGGAGCGAGTGCTTGTGACCTCCTATCCCAATTCGATGGTGTTGTTTACACACTGGAGGGCTGTGTACGCTTGAAAGGGGGAATAGATTTTAGGTTTGGTAGGTTTCAGAGCAGCTGCCTTTTTGACAAGAGCTGCTTTCCTGGCCCAGAGAGCTTTAATTTGCACACGATCACTTAAACAGCTCCCAATGACTGTGTCCTCATCAGGAGGAGGAGATAGGAGTTACCAAGTTTGAACGGAACCTCTCCCCACCTTCCTTGGGTACATCAGGTGATTTTTGTTAAATGAGGTGAGTTTTTCCCTTGAAAGGGATGAGTTAGATCAAGTGACCTAGGACTGCAGCCTTTCCTTGGGCAGAAGGTCAAGATGTTATTTCCTTTTCTAGTCTGAAATGCCACGAGCGTGAAGAGAAGAAAGACAAACAGAGTACTACTGCAGGGGGCAAAGCCAGGGAACAGGGAGGGGACCAGGAGGTTTTATCACGTCTGAGGATAACTTTGCTCCTGAATGGGAAGGAGAGGCCTGCTTCTTGTGCTATTTTTTATTTGTTTGTTTGTTTCCATAATGATGAAATGCAGCAGCAGCTTGCCTGCTTCTCAAGGCGTGGGTACTGCATCGTCTCTGGCTTCGTCTCAGACCCATCCAGGCTATGCACCACCAAGGCTGTAAACATCAGAGATGGCAAGAGCATGCATTTTTGAAGAAGGGCTCTAAGTCTTGCATTTTAAGTTTTGCAGTATTCTTGCAGGCCCCTTCCTTACAAATATATTATATAAGCTGTTCTCTTAAGTTAATACATATGCTTTGATGTTGCTATGTGCTGATTAAATTTTAGCTCTCATTCAAATTGTTC